CTCCAAAGAAGTCCATGAGGCAGAATCGACTCCACGCTTGACTGCCCGTGCCTCAACAACCGAGCCATGAGCAGACCTCCCGCTTCGATCTCCATCCTTTGACTGATGCAGACGACTCGAACTACGAAGAGGAATATCTGCATCTCTTTGACGCTCGGCAGAACGGGATCGGGCACGAACTACCTCACGAAACAGATCATGATTTTCAAGCTTGTCAGCAGGAAGCTCGGATGATGATGGAACAGACCCTACTTGAGTCTTCTCAGCAGAATTGGACTTTGGCTTCTTCCTCAACAGAGACACATCATTCGCACGCGAAGTCGCAACTCCATTTCTAGAAGAGTTGACATCAGCCTTCCTTTGGGCAGATCATCATAATCTGGACCATTCTGCTTCCATCTCTCAACATCATGGGCAGGGGCAGACCACCAATTTCCTCCCGATACTTGCCCAGCTGACCAAGCCCGCAACGCATGAGGCCAAGCATGCTTCAGCCCAGACCTGCGACGATAGGCAATAGCTGGTCCACCTGCGAGCACCTGCTCTACCACGGCTGCCGCCCACTACCAGCCGTCGCTTGTCATGACGACAACTAGCCAGACTTCCCCCAGCTAGCCTTCGCAGCAAAAAAGAAGAAAAGGCGAAGAAAAAGAAATATACATGCTCGACTTACCTTTGGATGCACGGCAACTCATCTCTTCGACAAGCAGTACAAATTCTCCAAGATCTCTCTCAAGCTAGAAAGTAGAGAAGAGAAGCCCTAAATTTACACAGGTTGGGCATCCTAGGTCAAGAAGGAATCGCAAGCCCATTCATACTGGGAACCCAACTCCAAGAACAGTCAAAAGCTCACTCCAATTGGGAACCCAATCTGCAAAAGGAGTCCAACTCACTGAAGGAAGCCCAGTTACAGCTGGACAACGCAACAGATGATCTACATCTCCTACATGCCACCACGCGCCATGTAGAAGCTGGGGGGCATTTGTGGGAACCGAATTAATTCATAACCCTAGGTCAAATAATTCCTACTATTTGGGGATTATTTGACCTAATTGGGAATTATTCAATTTAATTGGGGGTTACCCAATTAAATAGAATGTTACCTAATTAGGGTAATGATTGATTTGATTCCTACGAATATTCTCAATTAAAGGAGGAGTTACCTAATTAAATTAGGTATTGATTTGATTACCTCAAATAGGGATTTGATTATATCCCTAATAAATCAAATCCCTAATTAGTCAAATCTCGCCAAATTGGGGAGGAATAATTCCCTTCCATCTACGGAATTATTCCTCTGAAACCCTAGCTCCCGAGACCACTATAAAAGGATGGCCACATACAAGGGTTGGGGTACGTCTAAAATTACTACCGAATCTCTGCATAAATTATTTCTCACAAACCCTAGCCGCCACTCTCTCTCTCCCTTTTACACAAGGCTCCGGCCACCCGGTTTCTACCACACATACATATTCCCGTACCCTATTTTAGCTATCGTTTCTCTTTAGATCGATTGAACTGACTTAGGCATCGGAGGGCCTTTGGCCAACACCCCCCGGGTGTGGTCCTCTTATTGCTATTCATTTTGCAGGGAGAAAGAGAAGCGGAGAAGACGGAGGAATCTTTCAATCGAATATTCCCGTGGGAGGAAATTTGCTCCCACACATGTTATCCTAGCCATGTCTAAACATTCAATCTTAATAGTCAGTTAATTGAGTTCTTCCACCTCCACTCATGTGAGCAGGGATTTCGAAATCCCCAGACACCCAATAAATATTTGAGTACACCCCCCTTCCCCAAATCGTTTGTACTAACAAAAAAAATACATTCAAATCTTAACAGACGTCATATGCATCGCATCACCTCAAAACTCAAACAAGATATGTAAAATCCACGAAGTCGTATGACTATAAAATTATTGTTACTACCTAGCTCTCTTCTCCAGGATGGGTGTAACATCCCACATCGACTAATGGAGAGGGGGTGATGTGCCTTATATGTACATGCCCACCTCCATCTAACACGAGGCATTTTGGGAGCTCACTGGCTTCGGAGTCATGAGAACTCCGAAGTTAAGCGAGTTGGGACTAAAGCAATCCCAAGATGGGTGACCCACTGAGAAGTTGTTCGTGAGTTCCCAGAAACAAAACCGTGAGGGCAGATGGGGGGCCCAAAGCGGACAATATCGTGCTACAGTGGAGCAATCCTGGATGTGACAATTTGGTATCAGAGCCACTATGCCGTGTGGTGCGAGTGTGTCGACGAGGACGTCGGGCCCCTAAGGGGGGTGGATTGTAACATCCCATATCGACCAAAGGAGAGGGGGTGATGTGCCTTATATGTACATGCCCGCCTTCATCTAACACGAGGCCTTTTGAGAGCTCACTAGCTTCGGAGTCATGAGAACTTCGAAGTTAAGCGAGTTGGGGCTAGAGCAATCCCAGGATGGGTGACCCACTGGGAAGTTGCTCATGAGTTCCCAGAAACAAAACCGTGAGGGCAGATGGGGGGCCCAAAGCGGACAATATCGTGCTACGGCGGAGCGATCCTGGATGTGACAATGAGGGTCATAAGATCAAGGTAGTCGTATGACTATAAAATTCTTTAAAGAGTAGAATCTTTTTCTACTTTTCTAATTGTTAGTATGAAATTGTGTTGGCATTTCCTAGAACTTAGTATTGGTTTGGAAGTGTCATTTAGCTGTAGGGTTGAAGCAAAATTGCTACATCTAATATCCAGAAACTGCTAGATTGAAGCTGCTCAACAATCCCCGAATTCCAGATTTGTGACTTAACACGTATGAGCCATTTGATATGAAGGGTAAGACATGTCATTTTTTATGCACTCATACTAGGAACGTTTTTTGGAATATAATATGATTTTATTTCCTTGTTCTTCCTTGATTTTAATCAATTATAATCCTTTAGGAGTGCATCTCATTTAGGCATATTTTTCAATATCTTTTATTTATTCCTTGTTTCCTTTTCTTATTAAATTCTTCTTGTCTCTCAAGTATCTTTGATTTTCTATCATGTTTTGGCTACTTGGAAATCATGTTTCAATCATATCACAATATCAAGGAGTCAAGATACCCTTAATAGTTGACTAGGCATATAAGGATTCATTTGATATTGTGATTGATTAAAATCTTCCTTTCTTAAATATCTGCTTTCCTATTGGTTGAACTACATGTGACCAATCTTTAGAATAGGAAAGATACCTTCGTGATTTTCTGTCAAGTCTTAGAAATTGGAAATTTGGTTCTCAACATGTTTTCTTCCTTGTAAAGAAAAAGTCTATAAAATAAGACCTTTGTCTTTATTGTTTTTCAGAGCTTTCATGATCATATTTTCAGTCCATAAACTTTGGAAAGCTGAGTTTTTATTTGAGATAAATCATCAAGTGTTCCATGTTTACTTGGGGATTTATCAAACACTTTTATCATTCATATTGCATTCATTTGCATGTTCGGTGACTCATACGGTTGAGGGCACCAAGACCGTTGTGGCGGTTTTTCTTCGGTGAGCTTGAATCGATCGTGACTAGTATCGGATTCAACATAAGGAGAGTTGAAAGAACTACGGCGAGCTCGAAGCAATCGTGACCAGTATTCCGTTCAACATAAGGAGTGTCGAAAGATCATCCCGTGACAGAAGTTGAGTTACGAAGAAGTCGGTAAACATTATTTAGAATGTGTATTGGATAAGCATGTGGGTACTTCTTGTATTCATCGTTCTATAGTGGATTTGTTTTGGACTGAGGAGTCCCGTGGATTTTCCCCAGAGGTGGGGTTTTACCACTTAAAATACTTTCTGTGCTTTTCTCTGCTTTTACGTTTTGAACTGTATGTATCAATCCCCTTGGCGTGTTTTTTTTTGTATTGTCGTAATACTCTGAACTACTCAAAACGCAAACTTTATGCTTTTGGTGTTTTAAGCCATCCTATAGGTATTTTCACTAATGTTGGACTCAAGTTCATGAGTTTCATTCAACCTCCAACAATATTCTACATTTGAATCGAAATTCATAACCCCACATTTGTAACGTAAATTCTAAGTGAAATGAATGCAAATGTACCATAGAGAAAGCATAAATGTTGTGTATAGGGAGAAGTGTCTTTTGGATTTGAATTTACCTTAATGAAAACGTATCAGATTTACTTGGTGACGTAGTGGATAAAATTGATCTTGAACTGTTCACCGTTGTAGTAAACCAAGACAATATGTCTTACATATAACATATCTTAATAAACGTTAGTTCATACGTTTTTGTTCATTTTGGTCCTGAACAAATCCCGGGTTATTGATATTTGAATTGTAACTATATTAGTTATCAAACTTTGATGTTTTATGTCATTGAATTTTAGGATGGTTTGATATTGTAGAAAATGAGAAAAATATGTCGCAAGTTATGATTGTTGTTGTTGTAATTGGGCTAACAATTTTTAAAAATTACAAAAGAAAAAAGAAAAACGGCCGAACCAAACCATACATCTTAAATTGATTTGGGTTGATTAAGTTTCCTCTGTAATTTTTGTCATAACCGAACTGAACCCAACCGTCTTATTGCAATTGGTTTTGCTATGAGTGAAACTGATCTAATCCAAACAGTGCCCACCCCTAGATTCTGGTTCTCTAGTTAAAAAAAGGCTTATTTTTAAGTAAACCAAGTCATTTGCAGCATTTGTCCAGTTGGGCTTAAGTTAGTTTCCAAAATATCAAAGCAGAAGCAGCCAAATCAAAGCTGTTAATTTAAAGAAGAAGAAAAAAACCGAAACAATGGTCACCCGTTTCCCTATCTGTTGATTTCGTGGCATTTGTATTTCAATACTGTACAAAAAGGCCACCTTCACCAGTTATATTGATATCTCTGAACACCCCTCCACGTGACATTATCAAAAATGGGAGGGCTCATAATAATGACGATTCAACGACCGAATCCGTTGTATCACAACCACTTGTTTTTTCAAAAGTAGACAAATTTTCACTTTCAGCTTTAAATGATCAAATGAATTGATACAAAAATAATAAAAAAATCAAACAACGTGGCTCATTCTGGGCAAGATATGAATGGCCACCGCTTCCAGTCCCAACGGCGTTTTCACATCCCAAATGCTCGGCGGCGGCGCCGTAACATCCACCACTAAAATCTTGCCACGACAAACAATGCACACTCTTCCGCCACCGCAGGCGATCTGATCGGCCCCTATCAGCCTCTCCGACTCCAAAATCTCCACCCACACATCCTTCTCAGGATCGTATCTTCTCAAGGCACCCTTGGCCTCATCCACTACGTACATAACTTCCTCATCCATGGCTGCCACCGGTCCTCTCCACCCTCCAATCATCCCTTCCGGCATGTCTTGCCACGTGTCCTTCTCCACATCGTACATAAGTCCCTCTTTCACGGCGTCCCCTTTGAGATTCACCATGCAGAGCTTCCCTCTCCATCCCACTGCCTCGATCGCGTCTCTGCTGAATCTCCCATCTCTAAGCCCTCTAGCTTTCTCCCACTTCCATCCCAAGTGATCATTCGGATGCTTTTTGATTTTGGTTAAGTCCCACTTCCCCACAGAACGCGCAACGTCGATGGAGAAGTGGGACCCAATCCCACTGGCCACATAGACTGCGCCGCCTAGCGCTCCAGCCGCGCACCAGCGACGCGGCGTCGCAAGTGGGGGACCAAAGGCCCATTTTTTAGCAACTGGGTCGAAAACCAGAGGGCGAGGGAGAGCCGGGAGAAGATTGCTAGTGCTGGCGGCGACGAGGACGAGGTTGCCGGAGACGGAGACGGATTGGATGGGGAGGTTGCGGGAGATGAAAGAAGGGTGGCGGAGGAAGAGGCGGAGAGGTGGGTCCGGGGGAGTGGCGGGAAGGGCGTGCCAGTTGGATGAGAGCGGGTCAAAGCTGTAGAATTGGATGGAATTGGGGGAAGATGAGGAGGTCAAGAGAGCATACAAAGAGAGGAAAGGAGGGAAGGAGGAGGAGTAAATAAGGCGACGCCATGAGCTGCAAACGGAGAACAAAACGGAAGGGTGGACAAGGGAGAGGCAGACTTGGGCTATGTCGTCGGGCAGCCCGGGAAGGAGGGGCTGATGCCCATGGCCGACGACGTTGTTTTTACTCAGTCTTGTGCGTTTTGTGGGAGATCTGGAGCTGTCTGCCATAAGCAGAGTAATTTAGAGGGTTAGCCGTGGGCTTGGAGGCTTTAGATTCGGAAAGGAGGAAACTTGAAAATGCAATAAAGAAGCAAAGTGGGAAAGGGTCCGTTATGCTTTTGGCTTTACTTTAATTGAAAGATACAAAGTTTACAAAGAGTGGAAAAAGAGTTTTGAAGTTCTGGTTGGTGCAGAACAGAAAAGGCGAGTCATAATGTCAGCACCCATAATAAAAGACAAAAGCTGACCTTTATGTCTTTTGACAATGCGCTGCCTTTTATGTGTTTAGTTCGCTCACCAAACGACCAAAAGCCTATAAATGCCTGCTTGTATTTTACTTTACTTTACGCCCAAATGTTGGGCATTGCATCAAAAAACTTCAATCTTTAATTTCTACTTCTCTCTGTTTCTCTCGCTCGATCATCTCCAAACATAATGGACTAAACCCAAAATTCCATCATCCAAAACAAAACTATTCATGTATTCCCAAGATTCAATCACTTTTTCCCTCCAACTCGACTGTAGACTCAAAATTTAAGTCTTCAACTTTATTAATTTTTAAGAATGGTTTAATTCAAGTTTTAGTTCATTTTTATTTATAACTTCACGGTTTATTATTCTGAACAATTTAACCTAAAACAAATTGAAATTCCACAAACATAATTTGGGGTTGATTTTGGTGTATTATTTAACAAATGTATGGGTAATTTATGGACTTTTTAGATTTTTTGGCCGGAAAGCAAACTAGGATTGACATCATGAAAATTAAAGCAATTTGTGCCATTAGAATTAATAAAACCAAAATAAGCTTTCAAATTCTATATACAACCACTAAATTTGAACTTAACAAAAAAGGGGCACTAAACGTTATAGTGTATATATTGTTCGTTTGTTACAATATTTTAGACAACATTAAAAAAAAAAAAAAAAAAAACTTAATTTATAACATGTGTTGACAAGACTCGCCCCGAATTTCTTGAAATCCGTGACAAATCATGTAATATTCCGACATCAACTTGATGTCGAGCCCACTTACTAAGAGGAACGAGACTTTCTGCCAAAATTCCAGCAGAATCTCCCCTGAAAAACATACATTTTCCAAATTTTTCAACATGTTAAAACACAATTATAAACACCAACCAACAGCAAGCACAAGGTAATAACATACAATTTACATAACAGGCCTCCGGCCTTACATTCAACCCTAACATGAGTGATAACATAGCATATCTAAAGTAAATTCAGATTACAAACGAAACGGAGTTCAACATAAACAAAATAGATAAAGATTGTCCTGCACAAAGCCGAGGCTCGGAAGTTAGGATCTCGGCTCAGCCACTCGGTACAAGTCTATCTACTGCCTGGGGGGCGCAAAACAGAAAATTGTGAATCGACAAAAACAAAGTTTTATTATATTTTAAAAACAACATATAATAACCCCACCGTTTGGAAAACGATGCTAAAAACATGCAATATAGTCTATTCATAAGAAATCAAGGTGAGATCGAAGTATTCTCACTTCCCCGATATCAATAATAATATCCAAGTCAAATCCTTTGACTTCAACCCAAACAGTTCCCGAAACATAGACTTATAAAACGAAATTGGTAAAGATAGCTTTAAAATAGTTAAATATCTATCTTATATATAAGATAGTATCACACCAACATGAGTACCGTGGAAATAATCCAACAGAGGGATTGTTGATTAGTCCCCAGAGTTTCAACTTTCTACCTTGCGTCTAGGGATGAGTTGTGCAACTGGGGGACTACCACTCTACAGCACACACGCCGAAAATTTCAACGCCACGTGTGGCCAAATCCAAACACTAAGTCCTACGCGCGCAGACTGCTTTATCACACGTTGAATAATCCAACGCCACATGTGATAAAATACTAACACAACAAAATGTGCCCACATGCTGGATAATCCAAAACCACGTATGGGTACTCTAACCAGGGGAGGGTACTTAGCATGGTGCAATCAGATATTCACATAACAATTAACAAAGTGCCCTAACCCATATCCTTGCCCATTTATTTAATCAAAGAGTGAATAATCCATATTCTAAATAATTATAAACTTCAAATGTCAAGATAGCCAAAATATCCATCCATAATTAAATGATATATATATATATATATATATATATATAATCGATTCCAGAGCCGAAATATCCATCCATAATCAATTCCATAGTCATAAAAATCCATTTTAGAAATTTAATCGATAAAAATAATGCTATTTCAAAACAAAGTCCACTCACTGGAAATCCGATGATACATGACCCTGATAGGGTTCTGCTAGCTGAGTACGAGGTGTTTGAGTACCTATTTAAGAATACAAAGACTAAATTAATTTAAATACTTCAAACGAGAACTTTAAAATAAATTCTTAGTTTCTGAGGTTTCAAAGTGTGTTTGTATGATGAACAAGACGTTCCTAAGGTCCAACTACGTATTTCGAATAGTGGAATAGCCTTGGGAAACACTCGGTCAACCGAGTGGTCAAATTTCCAAATTTGGTCAACTGGACTCCTAGGGCCCACGACCTCCGATTTCTAATCCGAAAGTTCCTATGGGTTCAACAAGGTTTATTATACATGTCTTGCAAGTTTGGTCTGAATCAAACGGTCGGATCGCTCGCGATCGCACGATCGGACTGTTACCGTTTGACCTAATCTTTGAATCATTGAATCGAAGCTTCCGGGACTCTGATTCTCGATCTGCGAATTTCTACATGATCCTATAGGTATCTAGATCAACCTATTTTGAAATGAAGTTGATCCAACAGTCCGAATATATCGAACCCGGATAATGCCTAATATGCGTAAATCCGATCGATAGTCAAACGATAACCAAATTCAAATCCGAGCATACCGTTACGCTCGGAATGACATGGGGATCATTTTAGGACCAAATGAGTCACCCAAACAGGGCTCACGCACTGGCAGCATGTGGGTGGCCTGAGTAAATTACGGCAATCAGAAAATCTCCAAATCGCCGGTCAAGACCTATGCCAAACAATCAAGCACATCAAGAGGAGTAAATTTCATACCTGAGTTGAAGACTAATTTGGCCGTTAAAGCCCTCGAACGAACGGTTTTCTCGTCGAAAAACCTAGAAAGTTTTGGCTTTGGATTTGACAATTTCTACTTGAAATTGGGTCGGGTCTTGGGAAAGTACAGAAGAGAGGTAGGGGAGTGGTTTGGGTGTGATAGCATGGCTGGTGGTGGCCGGAAATGGCCAGAAAATCCGTTGGAGTTCAAGGTTTCAAATAGCCAATTTTTGAGCCTCTGTTTCGATCGATTTTTTAGTTAAATCCTTAGGAATCAGAGCTGGAAATTGGTATGGATGTGAAGAGAAGAGAGAGATGAAAAAACATGGATCCAACAAAGGAGAGAGAGAGAGAGAGAGAGAGAGAGAGAGAGAGAAATTTGATATTTTAAAATCCAACTTCGAGTTATTTATGATTGTGCCACTGCACTTTCGTTAATCGTAACTTCTTCGTTACAATTCCGATTTGAGCCCACTACATGTCTACGAACTCATATCGACGCGATTTACGTCATGGTGCTATACAATTCCCCAAAATCCTTCTGAATTAAAAAGTGACCAAAATGACCCTACCCCCGAGGGTAAATTTGTAATTTCAAAATTAATTAAATTAAATAATTTAAATGAACAATTTAAAATAGGGTTGGGGTGTTACATGTGTAAACAAAATAAGAAGTTTATTAGTTTATCATACATATTACATTATTTTTGATTAAGTATAAAATGAGGTTATGAAGTGCATCAATTAAATCTTTAAAAAATAAGGGCATAGAAGAACGGGCCTAGGCCGGATCGGACTATGGACAGGCCAAGGGTTTCAAATCCTAAGCCCAACCCCTACCTAATCTTAGAAGGGCTGGGCTTATTTGGCCAAACCATCGAGTTGGGTCGGGTTTTGGCCAGTCGGGGCACCTACTTTAGCCTGCGCGCCAAATCATGATTCATAATGGGTATATATAGAGCTTGGGATAAGTTTTAGGGCTGGATTTGATTTAGAAAAAAAAAAAATTTATATTTTTTTACCATTGAATTTGATTTTGGACCAACATTTAGCCCATTAGAACAATTTTTTTTTCATAAAAAAACTGGCATTCAAAAAGTACCTTTGTATCTTATCAGCTCCATTCATATCTCGCGCTACATGCCGCTTGGGTTCAACAAAAGTGGCCGACAATGAGAAAAAAAACAAGATCCAATGGTTGGAATTAAAATCCAACGGTCAAATTAATATTTTTTAATTAATCTAAATCAGATCAAACGCAAAAATCATCCCAAAACCCCAAAGATGTATGAATGGGAAACCACAAGAAGATGAACCATTATGCAGGGGTTGTGTTTCTATCATGTAAGATGGGGTTGTTGGCACCAATCAAGCAAACGACACACATTTTAGATTCTTGTGCAACAAATTTTTTTGGAAACTGATCGGGCATGGCTGGACCCGAACTGTAAATAATGCAAGCCATTGCTTCTCAATTTAAGATCATCAACCAACAATGTTCTCTTTGAAGACATGTCACTAAGGACAATCCAAGGCCTCCAAGTGGCTCCAACTCCAATCTTGAAGATGTGGTGAGTACCCATTTTATTCGAGGCCTAAATTTGTAATTGTAATTTTTTTTTTTCAATTATTAAGTTACTTTTTCTATTAAATGGTGCCTAGGAAATGCATGCAAAAATATTCTTCCCGAAGGTTTAAACAAAAATAATGTTAAGAAAAATTAATGACAAAACATATTAGGGTTAGCTATTCTTGAACAATTTAATAAAGCGGACTCAAATTTTGAGTCTTGAGTCTGCAAGGTTGGAGGAAAGAACTGTTTGAGTCATGACAATACATGAATAGTTGTATTTTGAAGGAGGGAAATTTAGCTTTAGCTCCAAATAGTGTAAAACCAGAATTACTACAATCCCCATTATGGTTGGAAATGGCCGTAAACTTACGCTTGGTGTTATTGTTTCTCAGGAAATATTAGTTTTTGTAAATGAAATATTTCACTATGCTCTTCAAAAGACATCTACACCAGCATTCACATTAGTAAAGCACTCTTTAGGGGCCGTTTGGTTCATGGGAAAGGAGGCATAGGAATGGGAATTCAATTGCTTTCCCATGTTTGGTAAGTCCGGGAATGGGAAACGGATTCCTGGCACATGGGAAAGTAGGGGGGAAAGTGATGCCCCCCTCTTAACTTGGGTTTTGCTTTCCCTCCTCATGGGAAAGTTTGGGAAAATGTGCCAACATTCAATGCACAATTTTCATAACTATTTTGTCCCTATGAACAATTTATAATTACAACGTATCATTAATTGCATTCTTTTTTTATTTGATTTAATATGGGTATAATTGGAAAATTATACAAATTTTGTTTTCCATTCCTACTCAAAACAAACATGGGAAAGGAAACAAAGTGAAATCTCCCGATTACTTTCCCAACATTACCAAACGTAGGAAAGGAATCTTTCATTCCCATTCCTTGGGAAATGACATGGGAATTGATTTCCCCTCAAATCCATTCCGTGAACCAAACGGGACCTTAGAGTAAAAGATAAAGCAAGGTCAATTCTTTATTAACCAGTTTAAATAAGCCCAATTCAATGCTTCAGAGCCCATCATAACCAATCCAAGCCAGCCCACCAAACATACCTTATATTCCCACAAGATTACATATCTTTTAAGTAAGCAAGTGCACGGCAGCTATCATTTGGCAATTTCACCAATGTCGGTTGATTGTCTTAAGGATAATTTGTGTAGGTTTTTTTTTGGTCAACAGATAATTTGTGTAGTTTTCACTCTTAAGCAAGTGTATATAGGAGAGGGATTGTAGTTTTGTAGGCATGGTTGAGAAGACAAACTGTCACTGCACCCTGCAAGTAATATACAGTTTATCTCCATATCTCCTTGAACTTATTGACTAGGACAACTTTTGTTGCATCCATATATTTTAATAGTCATGTAAAACAGTATATAAGTCCCCTCCTAAGGGATCTTTAAAATAATTTTATTTGAAAGACACCCTTTACTTTTAGGGTTCCCTGTGAATTTTTTTTCAACAATCCAAATTATCTATTTTTTAAGTCTACATTCATAGATCATTCTTGCAAAAATTTGACAAATCATAAACCGTTTCAATATCCAATTATGTTCTACAAAATCAATAAACACGGTACTTCAAAAAAGTATTAAAATTTCAATAACTCAATTGAGTGGTCAAATGATATCGGATTCAAGTGATTTTTTTGTAAAGATGATCTTTGAATGATTATTTAAAAAATAATTGGTTCGGATTAGTGAAATACAATGTGGAGTGAGCACTACAAGGATATCCCTCAATGAAAGCGCTCTCTCTCTCTCTCTCTCTATATATATATATATATATAAAAGATTATAGAACGTCCACAGAACGCTTTAGCTATAAGATTATTACATTTTGCATGTCGCACTTGAAGAATTTATTTGACAAAACTACAGGCCTCTTTTTACCCGAATGGCAAACCCAACCCCGACCACCCCCGCTGCCATCCCGCCATTAACTTCTGTATACAAATATTTTTAGAATTCTTTTTAGCTGTTAGATCTATTTACATCTAAGGGTTCAAAATAAAAGTTAAAAGTACTATGTTAGTTTCTTTTTTCCTCACGATATTACTCTGTTAGCTTGATAGGGCATTTGTGTGTGTTCGTGGTCACGTCGATAGTATTTTGATATCAGAACTCCATAAGAAAATAAACCCAAAAATAATAAATAGAAAATTGACTTCTTCACCCTTTTCTCATTGATTGAACAAATCAACACCTTTTCAGCAGTTCTCAATATTGGCAAGAAACATAATTTTCGATTCCTATTTCCATCTACACCACAAAATTGACAAGGGTGCCTCGGAACTCAAGTATGAGCCCCATCCTTAGTACAAGGGCTATGTTGTGGGAAGACAAAGAAAAGAGACTTATAAGAATCAGAACTGTTTCTGTCAGGATTCATCATCACTGCTCTCAACAAGAACAAGATGCTTTTTGCTCTTTAGTCTTTTTGAGGCTCTATTTTCAATATCTTGATCTTCTTTGGCATCCTTCGGCTGTGTCGAATTTGCATACGTATTCACTTGCTCAAGTATTCTACTTCCGTATTTCTCTGCCTTGAGTTTTCCAATTATATTCTCTAACTGCAAAGGAATGAAATACGTTTTTACTAGATGGCACAAATTGCACAAAATTTTGAAAAGGCAGTTAGACATATATCTTGTAGGTTTTGTTCTAGAGACAGCTATATCAGGAACAAGCTCCCACTAACTTGACACGTTGATGTAATATGGCTAAGAATATATTGAATGGAAGAGTAATGTTTACGAAACGAACCAGTTCCATAGAATTTGGCTTCTGGGCACTTATCATGTTGATTTGTTGAGTCGAGAGAACAGAATGCGGGAATATTCCTCCATGAACTGAGGAGAGTTCCTTTCTCAGCTCGTCTAGCTTCAATTCCAAACCAGAGGAAGCACAACTGCGTTTAACTGATTTTATACCAGCTACTTTATTTTGTCCGCTAGAAATTTCAAGTTTAACACTGCACTTCCCTAAATGTGAAAAGATAAGGGAATGATTCCAATTAGAGCATAACCAGAAAATAAACCAAAAAGGAGTCAACAGTATTATAACACTTTTCTTTCTTAATGGATACACATATGGGCTAGTCTTGAGAACAGAAGTAGAAACTCAGTGCAAAAGGGATGGAAAATGAAAAATGGCTCAATACTTGTAATGCTCACTGTTAGAATGCCACCTTCGTCCATAGAAGGGTACAGGTAAAGGCTGTTTTGCCAACTTCATCAACAGAACTGGTACATAAAAGCAAACTATATTGACCGAAAAAAACAAAAAAATTTGAGGTAAACTATGAACTGTAGTATTACTTCAAACTAAGAGTAACAGAAAAGGCTACTCTTGACTGTCATTGTCAGTATCTTAAAGGAAGCATGAAGAGCACAGCAAAGTTTGCAGCCTTCTTAGAAGTGCGTATTTCTAGAAATGCCAAGAATAATTATAATAAAATGAATAAATAACAAACAAACCAAAACAAGTAACAAGCAAAGCAGTAATCAACCAACTTATTGTATCAGCCTAGAAGTTCCAAACCTAACTGTTCCAGGTAGGCAGTATTGGTTCCTGATTGTTACAATCTTATTTTTACTTCACAATTCAGTATTCTATGGTAAGAGAACCCTTTTTTTTTATTGGTTATATATATATACACACAACACAAATTTAAATTTTCTGGAAAATTTCTTGTAATATTAACTAAGCATAATGTCATCGGGATAAATCATCAATCTCTTCCTTTTACTATACTGATCTTTTCTTGAAGGTTCAACATTGAGTAGGACGTTAGCATGGTGTATCATGACAATGTTAAACTAGTTAAGATTTTTCAACACAGAACCAATTCAGATAGGGGTTTTGACAGTGCTGTCCAGACAAAGGCACCAGTGATGCTACAAAAATGTTATTATTCTCAAAATTAAATTCCTCAAAACTGAAACTTTCAGAACTTAGGAATTTCGATAATACTGGAGTTAACATAAAAACTAATATCTGTGTCAGAATATGGAAATACAAAGAGAAACACTGGAAAATCAAACATAGATTTTCAGTACACAATGGTTATATGGTACATCTTTCGAGAAAAAAAAAAAATTTCATTCTTACCATGCAATACTTGCTTTGCCAAGGGTCCTATTGTTACATATGCATTTGTGGAATAAGCTGTATGCTGAAATTCTTCTTTCTGCATCGAGAACAGAACATACTTGAAACAACCATATCATGCATAGTTACAAAGGGTCAACTAAATTAATAATATGCCTACATCAGATTTAACAGATTGCATACTTTATAGAGAGAAAAATTAGGAGACAATCTTTTTGCCTCTAAAAATTTCAATCACTTATAGGTTGTTATACAGGAGCACTGCCTGCTGTTTTGAGTTGTTCAATGAGGAAAAAAAAAAGAGTAAATAATGCACATCAAGCAAACAAATTTCTGGGCAAAAACAAACAAATGCACAAGTGAAATTGCCAATGCGCTGGGTTGGGCAGAGTCAAAGTTGACACACTTAATTTAATTTAATTTAATTTGTTCAGGTAAGATACGCATGTTTTCTAGGAATAATTCAGAAACTTTAAGAAAATACCAGTATTATAAGGGACCAAGAAATTGATGCATTCAATAATTTTGTATCAACAATAAAGGACTAGCTCATTGAATATTTTTATACAAATTACAACCACTAGATCCAAGAAGCTTTAGTTGTTTATGTGTTATTTAATATAGGAGACAATCATTATGCTCCTAGTCTTTACAGTCATGTGAGTTTAAAGTATTTTGGAGGGCCAGGATTACCAGGATTAAAGTAATTAAGGGCTAGGATGCTATGGTTGCTGTAACCGTTGTTTTAATACTCTTTTAAAAGGATTTAGTACACGGCTTCTTTATACAATTTTATCAAAACTTCCAGATTTTGGAGATTTACATCTATCTTTTATTTTTTTTTTATCTTCCCTTGAGAATTCAAGGTCCTAGAGAGGATTTCTCTATTTTTTTTTCTTTAAAGTGCATCCGCTAAATCACCCACTCTGCACCTTTAAAAACAACAAAGAAGCAGGCAATGGGGATTGGAGATTTAACTTAGGACCTCCTACAACCAGAGCTCTGATACCATGTGGGGAGATCACCAGACCCAAAATCTTAAGGGATTATGGAATGGGTCAAAATGCATATCAAACTAACAAATATTAGTTAAAACTTAAAACTCAAAATTTTCCATATTTTCATAAAACCAGCTAGTAAAATTTGAGAACAATCAACTTTTAAAAGGTCCAAAAGTTAGGCTACTTACCAAACTTCTATCTAATATGAGCTGTATGACAAGCTGCTCTATTTGCTCCCTCTTCAGCTCAGAACCTGAGTATTTCATACACCAAAAATAAGTTTCCATTCTTTGAATAATACAATATTATGGCGGGGAAGGTTGATCAATACATTGAACTAGCAAGTGATCCACATTAAAATTAAAATGAAATAATGTACCAAGACTTACTGGTATTAGAAACATTTTATTGATATGTGGTGTCTCTGAGCTATACGGTATATTTCCATTGGAACCAAAAATCTAAGTTAAAAATAATTAAATTATTAAGCAATAAAACATACCTAGTTCCTTGTGCTTTACTTTAATTTTATCAACTAATTGCAACACTGTCAATCTCTGATCATTTTCTTGTGTATCTTGCAGCAAAGAAATAATAAGCTTCGCATGACCTGCAAAGCACGCCAATGTTATGCATCAAAGATAACTGTTCCAAGTGTATAATATGCGTGCACATTATTTTCATGAAAGACCAAAAACTAAAAGAAAAGAAAGAAAAAAAAGCCAGCTGATGATATAAGCATTTAAGACGGGTGACCACAAATAGTTTTACCGAATGAATGAAAATTGATAGTTTAATCAAACTAGACTCTAAGAATTCTACATAAGAAATTGCAGTATTAATGTTATACGGCGATGCTTATCCCTCACCTCTGAAAACAGAAGGTTGAAGGGTATTATCAAAAGGTTCAACTGAATCAACACGTAACACAACTAAAAACAAGGACATGACACTTCCATGATGTTCCAAATGAGCGAAATTTAGAAAAGTATTTTTCTCACTACTCAAAACAAACACATTTTAAATTTCATCAGGTTGTTTGGCATACTACCATACTAATGAAATCCTGGAAGATAAAAGAAAAAATCCCAGGCATTTAAGCAATGAAATTCAGTAATTCGACAATTCAAATTTCATCAGGTTGTTCTGCACACCACCATTCTAATGGAAGCCTACAACTTTTGATTTGTCATTTGGGAAGAGGAGTCCGACTAATCTAGATTTTGTTAATCTCTCCCAAAGGTTAATCTAGTTTGCTTTTTCAGAATAAGATTGTTACCCTTTTTATCCTCGAGCTTATAAACCTTATTCTTCCTTCTTTTTTGGTTCTTTCATCATTTTCACAACTAAGAATCCATAATCTTTCCTTGTTGGCAACAAAATGCAGTCATGCATTATACACGGCATTGCTAAAATGAGGAATCTAACCATTCTTACTCAGCTATTTGGATAGAGTCGTTGAAGAATTTTTTAGGTTGTCCTACGGCCGGAGGAGCTGGACTTCTTGTCGGAGAGGGTTTGCATTTGGGCTTTTTCTCTTTTCCTTCAATATTTTCTGACTGGAACACGGCTGTGATTTTTAGTTTTATCGTTCTGTATTTAAGACTAGCGGATATCTTGTCCGCTCTATTGTGATGACATAATGGAAGACTAGTGGAAACATAATTAGTGATGACAGTCATTTGAGTACAAAGTGAAAATAACTAGACACACAGAGAGTAAATTCTCATAGACAAAATGTAATAGGCTACGTGGAAGGAACAGACTGAAATTGCTTAAGTAGAAACCACAAAAAGAAATGAAGCAACACCAATGTCATTAATGCATAATATAAAATAACAGACAATTAATAAAGGATTGTACTCTTTTGGAAAGAATTCAGAAAAACATACGAGAGGCGTCCACTTCTTTAACCTCATTTGAAAATGCACAGTTGTCACACATCCCTGAGATAGCATTGATTGCATTTAAATTAGAGATAGGCAGTTGTAATACCAAACTAACTAACTGTGTCCCCATGTGTGCATATGCATGTGCTTGTGAACACAGAGACTAACTACCAATAAAACAGTGGTACCATTGCAGTCCTGTAATGGCTCAGCAAAATGGCGGAAAAACGAACTACGGCGACACTGTCTTTTTGACTGCAACAGTAAAGAGAAATCGATAAGACTCTACATCTTATGCTAGATTAAGCACAAGTATTGCAGAAATTTAAATGTATCCGGCCCAAGGCTAGAAATGTTAGGAAACTAAAAGAGGTATGACTTTCTCATCATGATGCAATGAGTGTAATTGTTATTCAGTCCTCATAAGTATGTAAACTCAAAAATAAATTCAAATCAAGAGAGAATATGTTTTTTTTTTGGAAAGGATCACATGTTCAACATCAGAAGAACAGATCCATAAATTAAGGTGCTTGTTCAAGCAAGACAAAGGGTAAAATAAGTATTTTTTGTCTTCTACGTACTTTTAGAAAGGGTAAAATTATAATTACTTCTTTTTAGGGGAAGATGGAATGATTATTTTGGTTGGTGGCAAGCACCACCTGTATTTTTATTTCCATTTTATTTTTTGTGGATAGTTCAGATTCGTTTCATAATTGACAATAATCAGGCACTTCTATGATGCATCAGTTTAAGCTGAGTTGAAGCTTGTGGCCTGCAGAAAATGTGATGCTTAAAATGGAGGACACTACCTGACAATATCGTACTATGTCATAAAGGTTCTGCAATCCGGAATTTTCATAGAAGACCATTGAACTCTGCTCAGAGAAATGTCAAATTCGAAGATTACATCATCTTCTAGGAAATTGTACAGTTGTGCTGTGGTAGAAAATAATACCTGCCTAGGAACATCACCAGGTCTAAAGTAAAGTAGGCATTGAGAAGGGAGTCCATCTCGTCCCGCTCGGCCACTTTCCTGGAGCAATGAAGGTTACAGAAGGGATAAAATTAAAGAATATGTAAGTGTAGCTGGAAAGGCACAAAACCTGGTAGTATGTTTCCATTGATTTACTTAGGCTGTGATGGATGACAAACCTGACTACAAGCAGTTACCAAGTATTAAATATAACAGAAAAATAAATCTTAAAGTGTCCATGTATGACAGACAATGCACAGGGAAATAACATAAAAGAAGAAAGCATCAATTGCATAAGTCTTTCTGTCTGTGATCTTTAGACTTTGAACATTAGACCAACCTGACCCCATCCACCCCTATATGAGCTGCACCATGGCTTAGGATACGTGGCTTGCAGAAGTTGCATGACATATGACGGTTTTCTAACATATAAAACTTAACAATTTGAAATTCTGAATTATTTTTATTTATTGTATTCAAAACTATCCTTTCTTTATCTTTTTATTTTTTATTTTTTGAAGAACAAAATATTTCCATTGAAAAGAAAAGAAAATTACAACATAGGGGACAAGGCAGTTCCCTAAACTACAGCAAGGATGGAAAATCAGCCATTCATATAGTATCGGGCCTCCAATTTACGGGTATTTCGAGGGATACATCAATATCGTTCTACGTGCGCGTTCATGAAAAGCATGAATTAAAATAGTTTGTTTGAAAACTGGACTACAGGTTAGATGAGACATCTGCAGAAACCAAAATCACACACCAAGTACCCTACAAACGAATTAACAAAATAAAATCAATTATCAACCCAACCCATAACAAACCAAAAATAAAATTCATTGATTGAACAAATTAAAGCATGATAAAGTTTTAGACCAACGGTCTAAAAGTAGTGTAAATTTTAAATCAAATTGAAGAAAAAAAATTCTTTATAATTTTTTTATAGATTATGTCTCTTTTCAAAAAATTAAAATTAAAATGGAAGCTTCTAGCTAAAAGCTCTTTTGTCTTTGGTTTAACATATGACATGAGCAAATTAGATACCTATTTGGGATAGAGAAATTTTAAAGTGAAATAAGCATTCAATAATCTATTAAGTTTCTCTTAATTCAGTGAATATTTTTGTAGATTCATAGCTTTATGTACGGTACAGAGACTGTGTGGATGTGTGCGCACACGCATGTGTATATTGGGGTAGTTTGGAATATCTTGGCCTGTAAGCATGATGGTTTTGAGAAACATCATGCTTAATCGATGACTCCCAATTAATGTTTTAAAACGTTAACGCATAAAGCGAGGCGTTTTATCGAGAGCCTCGCTGCAAAGCCTCTTATATATATACAGTGAGCTTTGGTTGAGGGATCCCTCAAATTATTTGAGGTACACCCTTGTAGGGCCCACCATACATTGTAATTCATTAATCCAAACCTTCTATTTTGTAGATATTCATTCGAAGATCATCTCTACAAAAAATCACTTGAATCCGATATCATTTGATCACTCAATTAAATTATTGAAATTTTAGTACTTTCTTGAAGCACCGTGTTCATTGATTTTGTTGGACACCATTAGATGTCTAAATGGTTTCCGATTTGTCTAATTTTTTGCAAGGATGATCTATGAAAGAAGACTTAAAAAATAGATGGTTTCAATTGTTGGAAAAAATTTGTACGGTACTCTAAAGGGTGTCACTCAAATCAAATTATTTGAGGGATCCCTCAAATATATATATATATTGAAAAACATATTGTCCAAAGCCTAGGTTCTGAAATTCCTAGCTTCCTTTGAACCCTAGATGTCGAAAATGGGTAGGAATCACTTTTTGTATGCCGAATTCAATAAATATTATATGGGTTGTTTAAGTTTAGTGTTTAGGAGGTTGAATGTGGGGAAATATTGCCCTCCAAGAGAGAAGAAGTCAAGCGCAGCTGCTGGGAGGAAATGGATAGCTAGCTATCAGGTCTGTCTAACTGAGATAGGGGTTTTAAAGTTTTTTTATGGGAGGGCCAAAACTACATAGTTCGGGCCCTGGGTGCTTTGAAAAGAAAAACGAGATGCCTAGATATATTGCTTTTGCGCCTAAATTGCACATTCACGCCTCCAGCGCACCTCGTGTAAGCCTCGATTACGCCTACATGGTATTGTGCCGTTGAAGCGCGTGCCTATGAAATCACTGCTCCTAAATAGGAGTCAAGTTCCAATATGATGACTAGAAAACCACCAAATTAATCAAGTCCCCGCATACTGTTAAACTAGTATGCAAAGTAGGATATTTATATATAAATTTCTATAGCAGAAGCCATATACCCCAAAGCAAAACAGCTCATTATGAAATACTAACCATCTGGTTTGTTGATTCCCATGCCAAATGCTACCTGGAACACATATGCAAGCTAAGGTGTAAGGAATATCAATTGGCAAAAAAGAAGATTCTAAAATGAATAAGGGAACTGGAAACAAGCATACCGTGCCAACGATGACTTGTAGTTTTCCATTACTCCACCTGTATCATCAAACATACAAAAGGGGATCCAGAAAGTGACTAAACAAGAGAATATATGTTGACACATGACAATGAATAAGCATTCAACAAACTAAATAAATAACTTCAAAGAAAGGCAGAGTAATCTCAACATCCATAACGGTAATACTAGTTGCCGAGAATAGACAATAAAGGGTGACAATTGAGTTTAAATAGGTTTTCTGGAGGAGGTGAGATTATTTCCATATAGAGAGGATGCAAGAATATGGTGTTTAGAGACTTGTATAATCGGCTGAGACCCATACCAGGTGGTCCTCTGTTTCTTCCTTTCAGCCTGATTTAGAAATCTAAGGTCCCACCCAAGGTTAAGGTTTTGGTTTGGTTGGTGGTACCCAAGAATGTTAACACCTGTGATTTACTCCAAAGATGTAGACCAAGATTGTTGTTATGCCACATTGGTGTATTTTATTCATGAGTGCGGGGGAGAGTGTGAATCATACTTCTTTGTCTTGCTGGTTTAGCTGGAAATTATGGTGCCTTTTATTTAATGAGATCACTGTTAGTTGGGTGGCACCAAAAGACTGTTTTTCTTTGCTGGGTGACAAACTTTATTGGGTGGGGGAAAAAAGACTAAGTAATATGGGGCTGTATGATGATGGCTATCGATTAGGCTATTTGGTCGGAAAGAAAGCAACAGATCTCTGATGATGTTTGAGGGTTGGAAGTGGAGGAGGTGTGGGATAAGGTCAAGTATTGGGTAGCGCGTTGGGCATCTGTTTCTCCTTTTTTTCTTTTTTTTAAATATAAGACACATAATTTTACTAAAGTAAAAAAGCTAACTACAAAGAATGAATAAGGAATCCATAATCTGGGAAAGAACAAGTAAAAACAAGAAAGTACAACTCAAAAGGAAGTACAATAGAACATGCTCACTAAACAAAAAATTATACTCTCACTTCAAAGCTGCTAACAATTCAACATTATAGAAGAATCAGCATAATCCTTAAAATCAGCCAAGACCGATGCCCATAAAGCTGCCCAGAACCTCACTCTATCTCAAAGTTCTCTACCCCCGCACCCTTATAATCCTCAAAGATTCTTCTATTGTGCTCCAACCAAATGTTCCAGAAAACTGCGAACAGCAAACAACCCCATAATGTTTTAGCTTTCTTCCCCCTTCCCAAAGCCTCAACCAAATGATTTAGCTCTCCTAAATTTAGGAACACTTCTCTTTCTGACATTATTCTAGACTTGAAAGCTGTAGTGTCATCAATATTTTTTGGTTTGATAAACTAGATGTAGCTTGAATTCACTTCTTCAGTGTACAACCTCTCAAAGAAACCAATCACTTCATCCTCACTCTCAATTATATCACTCTCCATCATCAACTTATTCACTCTTATGCCACTACCTGTTCTCTACGAAGCACAAATACTAAAAATGTTGTGGGTATGGAGTAATACTCCTCTGATACAACCAAATAGATGTCTGATACTTCATTCAGGGTATTGTCTTACTATGGCACTAATACTTTTTATTTTTTATTTTTATAAAAAGAAACATAATTTTATTAAAGACTGAAATTTTATTACAAAGAGTGGATAAGGAATCCACAATCTGGGAAAGAAACCGGAATTTCATATTAGTGACACTTGGGGGTGATGTAGGATATGGGTGAATTGAGTGTTTAGGTATTTAGCGGAAGCAAAAACAATGGAAAACAGAAAATAGAACGAACAAGGAGGTCTGGAATCACTCCAGGGGTTTGGCTTCACACCAAGAAGCCTCCAATCTCTGGAAAATAAACTTTACTTAATATCTCAACAACTCAACTCCATAATGAATTACATGAGAGGGGTATTTATAGCAAACTAAAACCTAGAGACAATAGGATAAAAAAATCTCTTGCTAAAACAGAAATTCTAACCTAAATAAAATAGGAAACTTAGAAATCCCACTGAAATCTGGAAAACTTAAAAATCTTACTAAAATCTGGAAAACTTAGAGAACAAGTTAGAAACTAATCGCAGGAATAAAAAATTGTCAGATTTAAAGACAAATTAAATGACTTCCTTTTCCATCTCTTTCTTTTGTAAACCCTAATGGGTTTGACAAAGATGTCCTCATCAAGGGGATAGAGAGAAGACATCCAGAGTTTCAAGAAATGTAACTAATAAGAGGTTAAATCCAAGGTAAGCTTTAGTCAGCAGCAAAAATAGCCCAGTAAGATTTTGTTCCCAAAAATAGCATACTTTGATGAGAATTAACCATAGTGATGCAATTTCCTCAACAACAAAAAAACAACAGTGATGCAACCCAGTAATCATATTATGAAAACAAATTTACTGCAAAGTATCTACAATGAGTGAACAACATTACCGCATATGAACATTTTCACGAGCATTTACGTCCATGTCTGCATGATAATGAAGAGCTGATATTCCTCTCTCTCGCAACTCCTTTGCAACCTAAGATCATAAATGTAAAGTAATAAATACCAACCAAATTCGGGCATTATATTTCAAAACTTGCTTACCCTACAATCATTTCAGGATTTTTTTCTTTAACTATATCTATAATGTTTTTGACAATTTTGGAAGGGTCAACATTGCTAACTCCCCAACTTAAATGCAATCTGACCAAAACGAGACTATGCCAATTCCAGGAATGTACAGTGGTGCTAGGTAATACCAGCTTCATTTATTTTTACCTTTTTGTATGAGGGTGCAAGGGTTTTCGAGGTGTGGATAAGGAAATAGTTTAATGGATTTGTGACATTTTAGTGGTGCTATGGGTTATTTGATTGAAAAGTAAAAGAATGGTTATAGAGGATTGTAGAGGGGAGGGGGGAGCCATTAAGGAATATAGTCTGCTTTTGGTCTTCTATTATTAGGGCCTCAAAGTCTTCGCTATACTTAAAACTAGAAACAAATTATGTGACAGGAAAATAAATTAGAAACACAAACCTGCTCACATTCCTTTCTAGAAAAGCAATAAACTATGCCAGAATCATTATGTGAATAAGAGTCTCGGATGAATTCTGCGATTTCATCAACCACCACCTTGCCAACTGAAGACTTCTCTCGTACCTAATGAATAAGGAATTATATCTGCACTCTTCAAATTCAAAGCCAGCAACTATTAACAAATAAACAAACCATGTAAAAGAGATTTGGTCTGTTGACTGTGCTGACAAACTTTACACATCTTGGAATGTGGAGCATCTCCATCAGATCACTTTGGACTTTCTGGGTAGCAGTTGCCTACAAAATAGACGACAAGAACATCAACTCACCCAAAATTTTGAGATTAAAACAAACAAATGGATACTTCATTCTTTTTGTTTCTCTTTATAATTAAGAAATGGAGATGATATCCTAAACTGCTTCTTGCACTCCTATTACTGTCATATGAATTGATAGAAATGCCCCAATAGTTGAAGGACTTTATTATCAGAGTTCTAAACACTCAATAGCATCATTGTGCCAGATTGAAAGCCAAAAGAACACCCTTTTTATCATGCTTTCCTTTGCTTCTGACCAGTATTCAACAAATTTTTACCACAATTTTTATTAAGAAAAAACTAATACAATTGGGATGAATGAGATGTCCATCAAAACCAAAATAGCACCCTTAAGCACAATGGGAAAACATCAAATCAAAGCCTGAACTGCCGCATCGCTTGCTCCCTCAAAAATCCTTATGTTCCTCTCCATCTACACCACCCAAAAATTTGCTATTACCATAGACTTCCCTAATACCTAAATCCACCAACAAAGTAGTTAGTCCATATGTTGATTAAGAGCATAAGGACTAACTGCGTTACTGTTCAAAAAAGGTATCTTTGATCATATTCTTATTAAAAAAACATACATCTGTGATCATACACTCACTATGTCACTTCATTCATACTCAAGAGTAGTTAGTTATAATCAGCAGTACAACATGCCCACAACTTGCAATATCTAACCTGTTTATAAGGAACACAGGGTAGTTTAAGTTCTATTGAATTTTGTGGGAATTTTAAATTGGGCCTTTTTGCCTGTCCATGTTCTAAAATAGCAGGAGTGGAAGAAGCTTTTCGGGAACTGCAATAGTCCCTCCCTTAAAAAAAATATAAGAATTAAGGATAGATAAATAACATACAGTCAAAGCAATCACAGGAACATTGGGAAACTGAGTCTTGAGGATACCAAGACTTTTGTAGTCAGGTCGAAAATCATGACCCCACTGGCTGCAGCAATGTGCCTCCTGTAAAATAAGCCTAAAGATTAGACACTAGAGAGATATGCAACCAACTTCGTAAACAATTGTATTAAATAAAAAATAAAAAAACCATTTAGGAGGACGATATCCTAAAAGCTTTGATGGGCAAAATGAACATATGTTACATATGACACACTCAAAATATAACACATTAATACAACACAAACAATTAACAGTCAAAAAGGTGGGAGACATGCCTAATAAAAGTAAGTCACATCCCATGAAAGTGGCACAGTAAACAAATAGGTACAAAACCCCACGATATCAAATACAGAGAACAAGTTGAGCTACTAAGCTACATGAAGTGTGGATGCACCAATTACAAATCGAAGTTTGTGCCTTTCAGAACAGAATATTTGTGCAAATCACGAAGAAACCATCAGTTAACATCATGAACCTACCCTTAAAATTAAAATTAAAGACCAACATACAAGTGCATAAATATTCAATACAGCATTCTAACATTTGTTTCAAGTATTCAATAGCACACATGTAAAACTTACTAAATAAGCATATGACATGAACTTAGACGATCAAAGTGCAAGATCAAAAAAAAAATTTCTTGGTCAGAAGAAGAAGCTCCTGTGTATCTTTGGTGTTCCCTGTACGACAAAACTTCGTCCTGGTTTTACTCTAAAACATCTTTCAGTATTGATCCCCATTTTGGAGGCTCTTTGTGCTAAGAGACACCACTAGACTTAACAGTACCAGTAAGCTACCAACGATGCTACATTAGCTAGCCAATTATAAGTTTATAATCCATTATGGAGCCTTCATGTCAAAATTTAAACAACTCTGTCCATAATATTATTCATCCACCATCTTCTAGAGCGGAACCCTAAGAAAAGCTCTCACCAAGCTGAACATATGGGTAGGGGAAGATGTTGAAAATTGCTGACTTGTAACAAAAGAATGAACTTCAGTTTCTATAATTCTTTTCCATTTGTATCGGGGGATACCCTAATTCTAATACTAATTTTTCAAACATAGTAGCACGTCTAATCTACACATGGTCATGCCAATAATTGAAAATTCTGAGGAAGGATAGGTATCTGTATACCAGATAAAGATCAACAAGTATTGACCACAAAAAGGAAGATAAAACCAATATACAAATATGCCTAGTTTGACATTAAGGTATAATGAAAAATTGAAGTGACATACTCACATCAATAGAAATGAGAGATAGACGACCAGCATGATGGCACTTTTCAAGTTTTGACATAAACCTCTTACTCTTTGATATCTTTTCTGGAGTCACATACAATATTTTCAAATCTCCTTCCCCCTTTTCAAGGGCCTTGTATATTAACTTCTCCTCCTCCTTACTAGTAGTTGATGTCAACATATGAGCTGGAATGCCTAAGGCTGCCAAACCCATCACCTGAAGCAATGGTAATTGTGAATAATCTGATTAAAATATTAAGGAGACAGTTCAAGTAAAGTGAAGAATAGAATTTAAGAGAACCTGGTCCTGAATCAAAGAAAGCAAAGGACTAACAACAAGAGCAACTCCATCACGAAGAATTGCTGGAAGCTGGTAACAGAGGCTCTTGCCGCCACCTGCAGCCATAATCACTAGAACATCTTTTCCACTCATGACAGCATTGATAATCTGACACCAATTAGCCACTATCAGTAAATCTAAAAACAGAGATGGGGATGAGAAAAATAAATTGTACTTACAGAAACTAAAGGCGAGCCAATATAATGCTACAACTACTCAAGAGCAATCAGCAATACCATCAAAAGAAACACACCTCGTAAGGGATAAAGATAAACCATTGACAGCTCCAACTACCATATTCATCCACCACTTGAGCCAAAGCCAACATGGTTTATCCCAATGGAACTCTCACTATGGATACTAAAAACCAATACTTGTATTGGAATACAAAATTAAATGATACATCAAACTACAGTTCAGTGAATCAGCAATTGGCTCATACATAAGATTCTTAATTTCCAAGGATTAGGAATCTTTGGGAAATTTTATCATTCGGTTGTACTCTTCGCTTTCAATAAGACAAGTATTCTACAAAGCACCTACGGCAAACCAACTGTTGGTCTGAGTTGTAATTACGTGTAGTTTTTGTACTTGCCTTCTTTTTATTTTTCAAGTAACTGTTTTATCCACCCTTTTGAAGGAGAAGTACATACAGAATTTATCTCAAAATATTCTCTACATGTATCACAGCATCAGAGCCTACAACAAAAATATCTAGGATTTTTACTTCTTACCCACCCGTCGGTCCCTGCCCAAACCCTGGCTTTCAGTATCTTAGTTTTTGCTACCTTATTTCTCTGTGACTCTTCCAGCAAGTAGTATTCTACCCATTGCAATGGTCAGGTCAACCTATTCTGAGGAGAATCCAGTAGCCGACACTGCTGGTTGCCACCATTGCCCCTGTTTTTCTTTCTTTTTCCTGCCATTACTACTGTTTCTTCTCTTCCGGCATTTTTCCGCAGCTCCTCCAAATTTTTTACCGATTGATTACTACTCTAGTTTTTTCCTACTAAATTTGAAAAGACGAGTGATGATCGAGTTATCAACTCTACTTCTGATTCTTTCTCCTCTAGGCTGCCAATCTTCATGTCTTCAACTGTGACAGTGCAAAGCACCAATATGTCCATGCAGATCACAATTAAGCTAGATGGATCCAGTTATTCTGTGTTGTCTGAAGTTGTAGAGATATACATCACCAGGAGAGGGAAATTGACCTACTTAACTGAAAAATTACAGAACCAACTGAAACTGATGAGGGGTTTTACTATAGATTTATATCTATGCATATGCGTACGTATACTGTTCTAAATATTTGTAAAATTCTAGTGTACTTATGTTCAATGTTTCACTAAAGCTCAAACATGATGTACTCAGAACATCTTACTTACAGACAGAGCTCATTCTTATTGACCACTTGCACAGGAATTTCCGCCTTAAGTGAATTTTAAAGCACACTGTCTCCCCAACTAACCTGACTTAAATCATGAATTTATTCAACATCTTACAAATAAGAAGGTGATATCCTAGGGGAGTGTGTAATAACATCCTTCTTATTTTGAATTTTTTTACTAGAGAGCTTACAATTTAATAATATCAAACAAAGTAGCTGAAAATTTGAAAAATAAAAATCCAAAGGCCAAAGTCACCTCTCGCTGATTTGCACGATATGCGGATATGCCAAATATATTGAACCTAGTATCATCAGCTTGAGAATCCCACTCAAATGGCCCAGACCAGTCTTCCACAGTAGTTGAAGCGCCATTAACAGGATAACCTGATTCTTTACATGCTTCAAGTATAGCCTTCAATTCAGATTGCCTTTCATATAACCTCTCCTGTTGGTCAAGCAATATCTTGATTTGGTCTGAGAAACGAGACATATGCATAAATCACACTGTGCTCTGAATATAAAAAAGTGAAAGAGCTTCTGTAACTCATTCATGGGGGATTCTATCAGAATACATTTACTCATATCTTTCTTACTGATTTTAAATCAGCAAATACTATCTCCATTGATTACCAAAACATAAAAGTCACATGAATTAAAAGCCTAAGATACAAATTAGACTCGACAAAACGACAGCCAATGGTAACAAACTTGAAGAATGAGTTGAACCTAATACAACTATAAATAAAGGGCAGCCTGGTGCACGAGGTACCTAGCAGCAATAAAATGACAGAATTTCATACTCTCCTAGATTCCTCTGGAATTAATCCATCAATATTTTTCAGAAAACAGCGGCTACACTAACAATTATATGAACAAACTAAACATTTTGCACTCAAAATGTCCTCCAACATTAAAAAAATGATTGAATTTTACCCAACTTCAAATAATGCCAATATACTTTCCCATTAGTCAACATTCTTCATGAATAATTATTCCACTTAATACTTTTTTTTCTGGTTTATCATAATCCTCAGTGATTAGGTTTCAAATTAAAGCTAAGAATATTTATATCACGCTGAAAAAAAAAAAAAAAAAACAAGAGAGAGAGAGAGAGAGAGAGAGAGAGAGAGAGAGAGAGAGAGAGAGAAAGAGAGGGCTTAGGATAAGCACCTTGGACTCCTTGAATTTCAACCTCAACGTTTAGCAGCTCTTCTGCTAGTATCTCTTCAGTTTCCATGTCAAGTCCTTATACGAGAGATAGAGATTGGGAACAGCGAGTGTAATGTACAGTTTCAGCAGGCGAATCGTGGCAATTATAATTTACAAATTTTAATGGAGAGTTTCTTCTGGGAAGCAAGGGAGAAGTGAAATGCTGCTTCAACTATGTTTAGAGCAACTCAGGCGAGCGACTGCTAGCATTTTAACGTTTTTTATTTCCATTTTCTCCCAGGGCTTTGTTGTAGGCGCTACCAGCCCAGTGGCTTGTTCCGCACACGCCCAGCCCAATGTACATATCTAGCTAGTTGCACATGTCCGGCAACGAAGAAACTAGGGAAATAGCGGTATATACCCCCCATTTTATAATCTTAACTAAAAATACCCCCCCAATATTTGTACAACTATCACCTATAAATATAAAATTATTGTCCACTTATTGCTGAATTTTCACAACTTCAGAAATTTTGTTCTCTCTTAGGTCACTCAGCTCTCTCTCTCTCTCTGGCACAGCTCTGTTTCTGTTTGGTTTCTGTCTAAAGCAGCTCGTTGTGTCTCTCTTGGCTCTCTCTGTGTCTAGCGCAACTCTGTGTCTCTCTCTAGCTTCGTTATGTATCTTTCTCCCTCTATTCGGTCTCTTGCTCTCTGTTTGGAATCGCGAACCCCTCCCTTTAGGTATGTCTTCTGAATAGCTGCTTGCAACCTTGAAGCTTTAGTGGATTGCCGACCTCGAAAAGATAGTGTTGATGGTTATTTTCTTAAAATTAGTGGGATTATGTGAAATGGGTTATATTTTGATTGTTTGGGTTTGTGATAAATTCGTTTTGGCTTTAATTGCTTTGGGTTAGGTTTT